ATCCCCAATTGGCATCCACATTGGCTGACGAAGGTCATGGGTAGATGACATGGACTCGAAGGACTCGAGGGGATGCCCCCACTGTGGCCGAACAAGGGTTGGCACCCTCATGGACCACAAGAAGGGAAACAACCACCTGGTCTCAACTAACACTTGGAAATATCCCTAAAACAGAGCATGAAATACAAAAGCAGTACAAGGACGAAGTAGTCACTAAAGCCGAAAGAGCCAACCAGATATTTGCATTCAAAAAATTCAAAGTACATGAGGGGCGCATCGGCCATTACATGTTAAGCAGAGAAATAAAAAGGAGGGGGATCAAGCTTCTTCTTCACCGGTTTCTTGAACACGCGTATCACTGGCTTCAACGGCCGCGGAAGAAGCGGTGTCCAAGAACATGTCATCATCCCAATCATCCTCGCTGATGCTTGAGCTCAGGATAGAAGGTTGCCTCTCCTCCACGGGGAGCTTGATCTCATCCTCTGGATCCCTCATCTTCTGTGGCAGCTTTAGCTGATGAGCGAACTTTTTCGTCAGCTTCAACTCCAAGCATCTATGGCGTAACCTCAGGTAGATCAGTCGCTGCATTCGTTGTTGGCCGAGGTCATAGTACACCTTCATTTCCCATTCGAAGTACTCTTGGCCTTCAGGGATATGCTGGCCCCAATCTTCGAGCCTGGCCGCCACAACCTCAAAAGTCCAAGGCCGACGCTCCTTAGCTTTCCAGCCGTCGGTCAAGAACTTCTCAATGGCAGCGTCGACAGCTTTCTATGCAGCAGCCTCGGCAGCCTGCTCGGCCTCAACTCTGGCCTTCTTGGCCTCAACAGCATGGAGACGAACAACCTCATGCGCCTCTTTCTCCTCGGCGAGCTTCTTCAGGGCGTCGTCCCTATCAGCAGTCAGGTGGTGAGTGGCCGCATCGGCATCGTCAACTTTCTTTTTCAGGGCCTCCACATCGCCCCGTAGCCGATCCAGGATGCTTAAGGCCTCATCGGCCGAAGCAGCCTTCTGCTCAATCTCCCGCTCCTGCCTCTTGTGGCTCTCCATCGGCATGAAGGCCGTCTGCACAAAAGTAAAACGAGTCAGGCCGACAAGGACACAAGGATAAAAGCAAGAAGGGGGAGAAATCGACAACGTATGGAAAGACAACTCACCTGGATAAGATTGTCCATCCCACCGTCATAGATCCGAACATTACCCAACCCGTTGAGGTACGCCCGGTCAGCGTCAGGAACGGCCTAGGAGATCACCTCGTGGCCGCCAACGATCTCGTTGAATACCCCCGGACCAACTCTTTGCCAGAGCGCTTTTCACGGGAGCCTTGGGCCTCAGGGGGAGGCTGAGAAATAGCAACGGACGAAGGGGCGGAAGTGAGGTCTACAATGACGTCAACCCAGGATCCGCCATCATCTCTGACTGGGACGGCCAGGGTACTGGCGTTAGGATCAGACGAGGGAGAAGCCCTCTTGGACTTCTCGGAAGGCTGTAAACCGGCCTCTGTCAACTTTTTCTGGCCGTCGTCCACCGACCGTTTCTTCTTTGGCTGGGTGGGCGGCTTCTTCGGCTGGTCGGAGCTTGGCTGTGCTCCACTCGTCGCGGCTAGCTTTGCAGCATCCTTGGCGGCCTGTTCTGCGGCCACTTTCGCCGCAACCTTATTCATAACGGATTTGCGGTCCATAACAAAGTATGCATAGAAAAGGAAATAAACAACGTTAGCAAAGCAAGGAAACAAAATGGGAACAAGGACGTTGGGGAGGGCATTACCATCGGCTTCGGCGGGCATGCCCAAATCGGGGCCATCGGCCTCCTCGAACGTCGTCGTCATCCTCAGCCAAATGTCTTCATCGTCCTCTGCATCCCCATACACAAAGTACCTCACGAAGCCGAGGGCGGCCATCTTATACTCGGTGATATACTCTTTCACGCTCCTTGGCCCGTCCTTGAGAAACGCCTCCACCTGAGAATCCAGGAGCACACTCCTCGGCACATCGTGGAGATTGAACCTCCCGGTATGGCCGACGGAAGGAAACTTGGTCCCTCCTTCGCCCAGTGACACATAAACGAACTTGCTCTTCCAACCATGGATGGACGAAAGAAGGTCGGTAAAATACCTCCTGTTCTTTACGTGCTAGAGGGTGGCATAGCTCGCACAGTTTTGGTGGCTGCCTCAGCCTATCTGGTACAGGTTCATGAACAGGATCGTTGTCAGCGTGATACCCAACTTGGAATAACGAAACAAGAACCCGATGATCAGGGAGTAGCTGTTCGGGGTCAGCAAGGCCGGAGGAAGCTCCACCATGCCCAGTTACTCCGCGATGAACGGATGAAGGGGGAACCTCAACCCATTGGCAAAGCTCATGGGATACACTCTGAAATTGGGCGCCCTAACCCTACCGAACGGCCCCACATACATCTGGGCGACCTGATAATATAGATGTTGGTAAGATCCAAGTACGAGAAGCTTGGACCTTTCTTCGGCCGGCGCCTCCTCTTCAACGGAGATCTCCCTTTGACAGTAGAAAGGGGTCTGGGGCACGAAATGGTGGTCGACGTAGACGCTTCGTCCACCGCACGTGATACTCCAACATCCTCACCCTCAAACGATGAGGCGGCTTCCTCGTCCGCACTTTCCTCGTCCCTCTGCTCACCAGATCTGAAGGGACTTAGCTCCTCAATCTCCTCGCAACACTCTTCAACTACCCCGTAATCAAGGGACTTAGCGGAGGCTTCATCGTCATACGGGTAGTACTCGTCGTCCAGTGGTTTCACCATAACAACTACCTAAAGCCTAAGGGGGATTACATGAGATCTAAGTGTGGCTTGTTGACTAACACTAGATCAAATCCTAAGGAAGCAAAGTATACAAGAAAACGGAGAAAGGTTGACGATCTGACCTTTAAAGTTTTGAAGAAACTGAAGAACACTCGAGCAAGCCTTTCTCTCTCTAGAAAATTGGGCAACACTTCGTTGGCTCAGGACGCAAATGGGTGACTTCCTTCGGAGGAGGGGGGGGGGGGTATTTATAGACCTCCACCCAACGGTCACTACACGTGGCACCCTCCCAGTGGCCACATGAACGACCACCACCCTAGGGCCCAATAAGATGCCACCGATTCAAAAGATGGGCCAGGCCCACTTCCAGCACTATCAGCCCACGTCCAACGTACCAACAAGTAGCACATGTAACGGCCAAAGCGTTCAACGGCCACGCTAAGGAGAGATATGGCCCTCCACATCCACAGGCCACGCCTACATCGGCCCTAGTAGCCAACAATTACGTACTTCAACGGTTTGCCCCATTTCAGAACGCCACCTCAGCACCAAAAGCCCCAAGGGGTGCCCGTATCGGCCTGACATGTTACCAACAACGAGGCTCTTTCAACGGCCACAAAACAAGGTGGAAAAGAACCTAACAGCCATCGGCCCCGTATAAAACCTACCGATGATAACCTTTTGAAAGCGACCTGCGTCCAAGGGTTCTCCCACAGGGTTACCTTGGCCAGGAATAGCCAAAGGGTTGGATTAAGGGAAAATACAGGGATCCCGCTTCGGCCTGGGGTTTCACCTTACTACATCACTCCTCACTGACCCTTCAGTCTGAAGCAGTGGGGGACTGGGGGACCACACCGGCCTCCAAACGAAAGGATAAAATTGAAAATCCAAAAACGCACAAGTATACAACTACAACAACACCGCATCATCTATGCACCATAACGTCCAGGACCTGGTGGTGTACCCTCGGCCGCAACAAAGTAAGCAAACAAGGAAGCAAGGCTCACCTCCCTGAATGTGACACGTGTCGTCCCTCAGCTCGACGCGTGCCGCCCAACGGCCTTGGAGTCACGTACTCCACTCTCGACCAAGATAAGAAAACAAGGACGCACAACGTCCTCTAGCCCAGTGCCATCATCGTCCACAAAACCAAGGACACACAACGTCCTCTGGCCCAGTGCCGTTATCATCCTCAAAGCCATGGACGCCAAATTACGAATACTATCACTTCGGCCTGGAGCACTAAAAGCAACCATAGGGCCTCCTCGGCCAAAAACACACAAGGCAACCACCAATGGCCAAAGATAAGAAACATCACCCTCATTGGCTACTCAATTCAAAGACGCATATCGGCCACTCAGCCAGGACACTCATCGTCCTCAAACAAACACACACCATCAGAGGAACAATAGCCTCCTTCGTCCACAACGAAGGGCATACAACGACCAAACACAAAGAATAACCACAACGCCCCCGCGTCGGCCAAAAACGTCAAGATTGCAGGAATCTACTCTCCCTCACTTCGTCTACATCTCAGCTCAGAGAGTGGGGGACTCCTGATGGAGTATATGGGTCTACACCACAGGACCCACATACTCAGAAGAATAAGAGGCATATCTGTCACTGAGTGGGACCTCCGTCGGCCTGATGGCCCTCCATCGGCCAGAAATACATCAACTCAGAACATGATCCAGAAGTCAGGAGAACCAGGTGTCTCCGTCGGCCGTGGCTCCGTCGGCCAGACCCCCGTCGGCCACAGAGAGCTCACAGAGCTGAATTTCATACTTAGTCATTTCTACGTACTTTGTACTCGGCCCAGTAGTGGCCCCATTGTAAATGGGCCTCCCAAGCCCGGGACTTGGGAGCCCAGCCCACATTTCCTCTATAAATACTCCCCTTGAAAGTAGTTGTAGGGGTTAACAAAATTCATTTATCACAGTACTAATTGCACTTCTCTCTCTAGCTCTCACTTTTCTCTAGAATATATACTCTATCAATGATAATTTTCGTTTAACAAAAAATATTAAATTTTTGAAAAAATTAGAGAACAAGAATAGGTGTTTGGAATCCCATCACAAGCCCATCCCAACTTCCCATATAGGTATGAGTATCATACGTACATACATACAAAGAATACTGTGATTATTAATTACGGAGTATTCTCTTATTATTACGTTACGTATAAATAAAAGAGAATACGGTGATTATTCTCTTATTATTAGTTCCCGGTTCCCGTGTAGCGTATAAAACCCCAAACCCTAGGCGTCCAGCTCCTCCTGCTTTACTCTAATAGCCACCGCTTCTCCTTGCTTCATTCTTTCTCTCAAAAACATACCCTCCCACGCCCGCGAACATATAGCGTACTTGCAGCTGCAATGCCTTCCGCCATTGTTTCTGAAGCTATGGCCTCTGAGTCGTCCAAAGACCTAAAGAAGAAGATGAAAAAGAGTTCCAAGACGACCATCGAAACCAGTGGCTCTGAAAAGGAGAAGAAGTCAAAGCATAAGAAGATAAATTCGGGATCTGATTCTGAGGGTAACTCGGCAAAGAAAAAGCAGAGTAAGAAGAAGGAGAAGAAGCGGAAGGCTTCCGAGATCGATAGCTGCGATGAGCAGGGGAGTGAGACCAGCTCGGAGCTGGTGGAACCGATGAGCTTCAAGGTGGACAAGAAGATTAAAAAGGCAAAGTTGTTGGAGGTTCCTAGCAGTGAAGAGGATCCGAATGCTATTACATGTTTCCGAATTTCGGCGCCTTTAAGAGAGGCTTTGAAAGCTAAGGGAATCGAGTCGCTTTTTGAAATTCAAGCCATGACCTTCGACACCGTATTGGATGGTACCGACTTGGTTGGTAGAGCTCGTACCGGCCAGGTGCTTCACATTCTTCATTTGTTATTGCTTACTTACATATTCTTTAGCGTGCAGGGGTGGAACTGGTATATTGCTATGTATCTTCAGTCAAGCGTCACCTTATGAACTTGCTCTTAACTGCAATGATTACCATAGTATTGATATTCTCTAATTTTCTTGTTTTCCGAAATTGCAGGGTAAAACTCTTGCCTTTGTTTTGCCCATTTTGGAGTCCCTAACAAATGGTCCAGCTAAAGCTACCAGGAAGACTGGATATGGCAGACCACCTAGTGTTCTGGTGCTTTTACCTACCAGAGAGTTGGCTCTTCAGGTTTCCTTAGAGACATAGCTGATTCTAATGCACTTATTTCTTTTTGAAGTGCACTTTCATCATATAATCACCAAAAACAGGTTTTTACTGACTTTGAAGCTTATGGAGGGGTATTGGGGCTATCTTCTTGTTGCTTGTATGGTAATACACCTTATGGACAACAAGAACAAAAGTTGAAAAGAGGTGTTGACATTGTAGTGGGTACTCCTGGACGAGTAAAGGTACCCTTTGATGAGTTTAGCTTTGGAATGTATATATACCTTTAAACCAAAGACTACTAAATACTAACTGTTTGAGTTACTATTCAGGACCATTTAATGAGGGGAAATCTTGACTTCACCTCATTGAAGTTTCGTGTTCTCGATGAGGTTGATGAAATGCTGAGGATTGGTTTTGTTGAAGATGTTGAATTTATTCTAGGTACATAAAATTATGTACTTGTGAGCTACAATATTGCATGTTTATCCCTATGATGACTTTGCTCAGTTACTGTACTCTTTAAGAGCTGTAAATTGCTCTTGTCTATTGTATATATTTCCATTGTGTGCATTATTTTCCCCTTTTAAATTATAGGCAAGGTACAAGATGTGAATCAAGTCCAAACACTTCTTTTCAGCGCAACCTTGCCAGGCTGGGTGAAGCAGGTCAATGTTGTCAATATCCGTCTTTGCTTTAGACCAATGTTTAATTGAAAGCATGCTTTAGAACAATGTTTAGAAGACTAAATAATGAATAAATTGAGTTTAGAATGTTTTAAGAATCATACCTGCACTAATGCACCGGATTTTATGAATGAACTTTGAAGTTAAGTGTGCTTGAACTAGAGTAGTACAAGGATATGTGACTCCAGGGAAGTTTTCGTGTTGCATCCCCTTTATATGCTGACTTGTTGCACCGGTTAAGGTGTTGCCTTGGCGCACCGGTTGAAGTAGAGTATTACAAGGATATGTGACCCCAGGGAAGTTTTCGTGTTGCATCCCCTTTATATGCTGCCTTGGCGCACCGGTTAAGGTGTTGCTTTGTGACCGTGAGGCCACAGGTTCAAGCATTGAGAGTTGTCTCTTGTCAGAATTTGATAGGGGAAGGCTTTCCCCTTATACACCCCTGTGGTGGGACCCTTCCCTGGACCCTCGCCTTGTAGGGATTGCTTTGTGCACCGGAATTTTCTTTTTATACTAGCCTAGCTACCTAGCAGATCATCTCTAGTTCAACTTCACCTAGCTCACACTTCCAGGATATTTGACTGGCATTATATGCCCAAGTGTTGGTAAAAATGGAAACCCTCATGTAATAAAACTTCGGAATTTCAAATTTCTTAGTTTTGTTTTTTTAAATTTCTTTGTACCATACTTTGACTCTTTACCATTTGTTTGTCTAGATTGCCTCTCAGTTCCTCAAACCTGATAAGAAGACTGTAGACATCGTCGGCAATGAGAAAATGAAGGCCAGCACAAGTGTCAGACATATTATTATTCCATGCTCTAGCTCAGCTAGATCTCAACTTATTCCTGATATTATTCGATGCTATAGCAGGTTTTGTTGCTTAACTTTTTGAACATTTCATCCATGAAGTAATAGTAATACGAGTCTCCCTTAGTCACGTGCTTAGCATTTTTGCTCTCCTTTTTCATGACAATATTTAATTACAGTGGAGGCCGCACTATTATTTTCACCGAAACAAAGGATTATGCATCTGAGCTTGCTGGCATATTGCCCGGGGCTAGGGCTTTGCATGGAGATATACAACAGTCTCAGCGGGAGGTAAAGTTTTGTTCATTACGTTTGCTTCATATCATGGTACTACTGTGCAAGAGTGCTATGATATAGTGATTGTTTGATTTTTCAGGTTACACTCGCAGGTTTCAGATCAGGCAAGTTCATGACATTAGTAGCCACAAATGTGGCAGCCCGTGGGTTGGACATTGATAATGTTGAGTTAATTATACAGGTTTGCTTTTGCATGATATATGGTTGTGATGCTCAATTAGCTATAGCTGTTTCTTATGTACTGAAGGAGTCATCTGCTATTTTAGTGTGAGCCCCCACGTGATGTAGAAGCTTATATTCACAGATCAGGCAGGACAGGAAGGGCAGGTGAGTTGCTGATCTTAATGTTGAATTGCTTTGTTGTTGTTTTATGTGTAGGAGGAACTTTCTTTTAACGCATACATATCATTATTCCCCAGGAAATACTGGTGTGGCCGTCATGCTTTATGATCCTAAGAGGTCCAACATTTCCAGGATAGAAAGAGAATCTGGTGTTAAGTTTGAGCATATAGCTGCACCACAGCCAGCTGATATTGCAAAAGCTGTTGGAAAAGAAGCTGCTGAGCAAATTGCAGGAATTTCAGATAGGTACAGGCACACAGCTCAATCTTCTGATATTTTTGCAAGTAATAGTAGTCTTAGTATAGCTTGCACTGATATTCTTGTAAACAATATTGTGAAGTGTAATACCTGCCTTCAAGGAGGCTGCTGAGGATCTTCTAAATTCGTCTGATCTCTCACCAGCAGATTTGCTTGCAAAGGCACTGGCGAAGGCTTCTGTAAGTTCTATGTTATTCTTTGCCTTATTCAATATAAGGCAATTGCTTAGCCTCTCTGCTCATGTTTCAGGGATATACTGAGATCAAGAGTCGATCCCTTCTAACTTCCATGGAGAACTGTGTTACACTACATCTTGAAAGTGGGAGGCCCTTCTATTCACCTTCGTAAGGGTTCAATATGTTACTTAATTTTGTATAGTGAAATGTTGCATGCTATGTCCTGTATAATGGCCATTTAGACTTGGGACCTATGTTCAATAAAACATTTTGATCCTATACCTATAAAAAAGTGGAAGTAAGCGATTTCAGTGAGGGCGTCAAATCATCAAATTGCTATAGTTTTGAAACACTTGGGCTCTTTGGTAGATAAAAATGGGTTTTCCATTTCACACATCCATTGATGAAAAGTTAGTCATTTGATCAGCCACCGTCTGAATATGTACACCAAATAGGAATGGTGCCCTATAGTGTCTCCATTATTTTTGTTGTGCTTAGTAGCAAAGAATGTAGCTGCTGACTATTTGGCTGAAATGCATGTTACATAACACTTTACTTTAAGAGAATTTAGCAGAATCGGCCATTTTCTAAATTAACTCTTACCAAACTGACGTAATGTACATGAATACTTGGAGTGTGGACCATGCTGGGAATAATAAATTTTCTAATAGGAGTGGAGAAATCACCAAGATTATCCAATTTAATTTCTTTTTGTGCCAAACCAAGTTTTTGATATCCACTGTTGGTGAATCTCTTCCCTTAACTTTAAGTTTCAATCTTTTTGCCAGGTTTGTGTACAGCGTCTTGAAAAGGTTCTTACCTGAAGAGGTAGCTGAATCTATTAATGGTCTGACTCTGACAGCGGATGGGAAGGGGGCAGTGTTTGATGTGTCTACTGAAAATGTACAAACCTTCCTAGAAGGTATGCGTTATTATTACTCGATTTTTTGGCATTAAATCAATATAAGCAAGCCTATGTGAATCTGTTATATTGTAACCTGTCACTAGCTGCAATTGAGCTCTTGACCATAACATGTAGGTGCAAAAAAATCATATGATACAAGCCTAGAAGTTGTTAAGGTGTTACCCCCTCTGCAAGAAAGAGAACAGACACGAGGTGGGAGATTTGGTAACGGTGGTGGTGGGAGAGGTGGTCGTTTCTCTGGTGGAAGAGGAGGTGGTGGACGTTTTTCTGGCATGAGGGGTGGATTTTCAGATCGCAGAGGTGGTGGTGGTGGAAGAGGCCGCAGATATTGAGAGGCCTAACATACCTAGATGATGGATGATCAAGGTAGAGATTGATCTCCATCTATACAAATTTTTGGGATTAAATTGAAGCATCGTAATTTTGGAGAATGCGAAGAAGAATGTAATTTTGCACCAAGGTATAGTTAGTGTCTGTTCTATTTTTTCGTGATTACAAACGATATTTTGTTTTTTATCCAGTTTAATTGTTTTTCTTTTGTTCGAGTCTTGAGTTGTACCAAGTTGTACTCTATTTGATCTGATTTGTTCACGAGAAAAGGAACATAATTATTCCTAAACTGTGGGGTTTAATGTACCAAATCCCCCATGTGATATAGAAATTCGGCCCATTAACCTCCTGTGATTTAAAAAATGCGTCAAACTTAGGAGTGGGCCCGGACCGGTCCGGTGAACCGGTTGGTGCCCGGTTTGGGCCACCCGGCCCGGTGAGGTAGGTGGGCCGGGCCCGGGTCTCCTAAATCGTGAATCGGCCCGGCCGGTTCGAGACCACAGCCTTGGTGGGTTGGGAGTTTTATTGATTTTCTCTTGATCCGACCTTGTTTTTCGGCTTATTAGTCTTGTTAGGCAGCTTTTCACCGAACATGGAATTTTTGATTTCACGTATTGAATTGTGTAATAATAACAAAAGGTGAGATTGAAGTTTTTTTACCTTATTGATTGAACTTATTGTAGAGGATTATTTTGGCAATTTTATATAATTTTTCTTTGTTTTATTAATAAAATAATTTTTTCCCATAAATTAGCAAAGTCAATCACTTCAATCAGAACTTATAAATTTTTGATAAATTAGTGGTTTTAGCCCATTTTAGTATTAAAAAATGGGCTCTCGGTGTCCAAATTCGGAGTTTTTGAAGTTGAAAAGCAATATGTTATACGTAGTGGTGGACTCGGGCCGGGTCGGGCTCTGTCGGGCCGCTGGTTTGTATGACATGGGCCTGGAACCGGCCCGAGGGTTGGACGGGTGCGGTTCGGGCCGGGCCATCCGCCCGGGTCACGGGTCGGGCCACTTGCTGTGTCGGGCCGGGCCGGTTAAAGATTTTTATTTTATAATTTGTATTTTATAGTTTATAGTTTTATACAAGTATTAAAAACAAACTTCAAGTGCATTTATTTGAAATGAAATATGAACTACATTTGAAAATTAAAACAAACTTCAAGAGACGAACCTTTTGTAAATTGTAATCAATCGGAACTTCCCGCACCTCCCGATCTTTTGGCTTTGTCGCATGATTTCATATGCTTCATTGCCATCCCGTATCCGCCTGAAACTCCCATGCTACATTTTTCCCCACACCATTTACAAGTTGCGTACCACATCCCGATCTTCGGGTCCTTCTGCTTATCAAAATTATACCGTATAACGGCATCTTGATTTTCCATCTTAAGTATAAAGTAGATATATAAATAATAAATTAGTAGAGAATAGAGATTAGAGAGTAGAAATATTTGGAGAAGATGTGTAGTAAATTGTATAGAAAAAATGGAGTATTTATAGTTTTTTTGTACCTCTACCCCCACCCCCCACCCCCCCTAACCCACCCCTGGACCCTAGGAAGGCTCCCAACGGCTATATAGCCGTTTGGGTTCAATCACAACGGCTCTAAGGGCCTGTTTGGTAGCCAAAAGATTTTTTTTTTTTTAAAAAATATAGCCGTTGGCCCGAACCGGCCGGGCTGGGCCTTCCTTTTTGTGAACCGTGCCCGAACCGCTAGCCTCCCCCGGGCCGGGTAAAAGCCCGCACCGCCCATTCCGTAACCGGGCCAGGTCGGGCCCGCACAGTGGCGGGCTGGGCCGGTTCAGGGCCGGGCTGACCCGGTTTGGTCCATCCCTAGTTATACGTAGGGTTGGACTGGGTTGTCCCCCCTTATACATTAAGGGATCGTTTGGTTACGGGAATGTCAGATTAACACGGGAATGTCAGTATCGTTAGATTGATGAGAATGTATTCAATTTATTCCCATTTGTGTTTGGTTAAGATTAAGAGTGATATTAATTTACTTGGTTGGAAGATATCTTATGTTGTAGATATAGTGAATTACTTCAATGTCTTATAAATATTTTATCTTAACACAATAAATCTATTACAACCTACATTTAAAGTAATTAAAATTAAAGAAGAAATGAAATATCTTAATAATAAATAAAATCAAAACCTAATTGAATTGTTTTAGGTAAACTACGTTTCTGATGGATAGTGTACCCGGGGGTATATATCCGAGGGGTTACTGCGGGGAGTAACTAGGGAGAAGTTAGAACAAACAAGTAAGAGAGAGAATATGTATTCAGTGTGGATTCAGCGTATTCAGAATATATGGTTTACAAAGGGGAAATAGGGTGCTATTTATAGTAGCAATAAATGCGAGACGAGGACACGTGTCAAGCATCCAACGGCCGAGGGGTCACATCAACCGGGTGTCACTGGCATTCGCATGTGGCCGCATTTAATGCGGCGGTTGGATGTGACGTTGTACTTGGTACGGCGATCCAGGCGCATGTGGAGAGGATATTCTTGTCGAGGAAGGTACCCTCGGCTGTAGATGATTAGCCGAGGGCTCTTCTTGTCGAAGGCCCCTTAAGGTCGAGGGCTCCAGGTGCCGAGGGCTACTGATTTTCGCCGTTTTCTCCCAGTAGCTTTGTATGCTAAAAATAGCCTTTTTGTGAGAATTTGGAGCCTTCGGCTAGGGGGCCGAAGGCACCCCTGTGTGCTCCATGGGTTGCTTGGTACCCGGGGCGCTGCGATTTGGGCCTGCTGTGCTTCCTGGGCCTCTTGGGCTTTTATTAGGATAGTAGGAGTCTATGGGCCGGGGGTCCATGGGCCATATACTCCATCAGGAGTCCCTCACTCCTTTTGCCGAAAGGTACTTGAGGGAAAAAGAGTAATTTGTGCTTGTCCTCTGCCGTTGTTTCGTTGTAGCTTGTAAAGTTGTGAGGAGTTCTCTGTTTGAAAGTTTTTGCCAAAGGCAGTCCCCCAGTCCCCCACATTTTGGGACTCGAAGGGTTGTGTTGCTACTTTGCGGAGTTTTTGATATTTTGAGATTTTTCCGAAGGGGTTCTCCAGTCCCCCACTCCTTGAGGCACTTGTGAAGTGGTGAAAAGGAGTAGAGTATTGCCTGCTGTTGTAGGTGGCCGAAGGTTGACATTTTTCGTTTCATTTTGGGGGGATGCCTCGTTAAAAACCCCATTAGAAAAAACTCTGTGGGAAAAAAATTCTAATGAGGGAAAAAGAGTGCACCGAATTCCCCCAATGATGAATCGAAAAGGTGAAACCTTGGTCTGAGACTGACGACAGTGTTGTGGTCGAAGGCTATCCTTGTCTGAGGGCGCGTGTGTTGATTTACCGAAGGCGCGCTGTTGATATCCCGGGAGATGCCGAAGGGGAGTTCCTCAGTCCGCAGGGTTGAGGGCGTGATGAATGTAGGTGGTAGTTGTTGTGTTGCCGAGGAGGTTCTTTGGTTAACGATAAGCTGGGAATGAGGGCACCCGAGGGCCCCGTTGTTGTATGTTGAAGGCTGTCCGCCTAAGAAGGGTGTTTAATTCGATGTTCCCGAGGGGTCTCCTTGTTGCGTGTTCGGGGGGGGGGGGGGGGGGGGGGCAGTTGATGAAGGCTCCCGAGGGGCGTACCCGTTGTTAAGCCGTGGGCTCTTGATTGAGAAAGCCCGAAGGCACTTGTAATGTTGTATGAGGGGTACCGGTTGGGAGCGCCTCCGTGTTTCAAAATATAGCCGTTGAGATATGACCGTTGGGAGTGGGGTCCACGTGGCGTGTGCTTGTTGGTTCCCGTTGGGCGGGCGTCACTGGTTGGTCAAACCGGCGGTGTGTAATGGTGATTTCGTAACCGGAGGCCCGGTTTTGGGCCCAAGCCCGGATCTGGGTGCCTATAAATACCCCAAGGCCAAGGCCATTATCCCTGTGCGATCATACTAAAGCGAAGCTCTTGTCAAATATTTCTAGAGAGAGAAAGTTCCCTTCGCTCAAACTACCAGCTTCAAGGTCAGTACTCGATCCACTCTCAGCTACCTTCAACATACTTTGCCTTCCTTTTCTTTTTGACGAGTTCAATCTTTCGTAGCCTTAGGTTGAGCGCTATAGTTCCTCAGGTAGTGATACGTTTGTAATTTCCATATATATGTTTGTGTTTTTAATTAGTTTTGCTTGATCTTTACTATGGAAATTACACACTTTTGGTGTAATAGATTAGTTTGTTAAATTCTTGTAAATAGGTTAGATTAGATATATTCTGAGCTCAAACAGGTCTTGATCACTCGAAGTACAGTTGGTGAACCCAAAGAGTGGAAAGAAGGTGCAACAATTTGAAGACAAAAGAAGATCTTGAATTTTGGTCTATACTCGGTCGAGTATTAACTATACTCGATCGGGTATTAGGTTGGAACTTCAAATCGGATCAGATCCGAAGACAAGGGAACATGCCGGGAGGATTTCGGCCACGATTTAATGTCTATACCCGATCGGGTAGACCGACATACCCGATCGGGTATGCCTTTGAGTTTTAAACGAAGATCGGTCGAGTATGGTCCGAATACCATTTTCTAAGCATGCTCGACCGGGTATTAATATATACCCGATCGGGTATACTTATGGAAAACAGCCTGAAACCGATCGAGTATACCTCGGATCGAGTATTACACACATACTCGATCGGGTACCATGTATATACCCGATCGAGTACCCGAATCCCATCCCAAAAGCTTATAAATACACCTCCTTTCCTTCACAAAAAGATATCCAATTCCTTTGTACATCTAAGCTCAGTATAGAATAGCTCTTTCTTTATATGTTTCATCATGTTTAGTCTCCAAATGAGGAGCTAAACTCTTCCATCTTGGTTTTGCTACTTTGAAGCTTAATGAATTTGTAAGTTGTGAGTTATTTTCTTTAATCTTCTTCCTTGAATATTAATTCTTCTTTTAAAATACTATCTCTATATCAAAGTTGGGGAGTGTTACTAAGATGACAATTAGTTAACACCTTGACATTGGTTATAGTAATAACTATTTCTTCCTCTATGTTAATATTGGGGAGTGTTACTAAGATGACAATTAGTTAACATCTTGATATTAATCATAGTAGGATTCATATTCTTTAATATTCTTCCTTGAGTATTAGTTAATTCCTATTCATATTTCATGTTAATATCTTAAACATTACTTAAAGTATCAACTAGTATTGTTTCTCATATTAATTATTACTAGAATCAATCAGTTAATACGCTTGTTATTAATCCGGTTCTTTCATCGGTAGTAAACTTGGAATATTAATGCATGCATCTCATGGTTAATATGCCAAGGGGAATTAATTATATTGATTA